TGATATTGTATTGACTTTAGCTTCAACTAAAGTTATTTGAGAAAAATATATTTTATTTCTCAAAATGGTGTGCGTTGTAGCGCTGTCTATCAGACATAATTCTTGATTCATATCTTCAATATATAAACATAAGCTTGATCACAAAATATGCATATTATTTAACATAAAAGTACATACTGCGTATATTACACACTTATTTATGAAAACAACATAAAGGTAACCTAAAGAAAAAGTACAAGACGACATAAACTACTGTTTTACAATATGTAAAAGTCTTATAATTTATTTTGTGTTATTTTGATCAGTGGCAAATGCATCATCCATTATGCTATCATCCATGAAGAAGTCGGACACATCAAATTTTGGCAGAGATGGAGTTGTGTCATTGACATAATTTGCTTCCACATTTTTGCCTTTGTTCAAATTCATGGAAGCTTGAAATAACTCCACAAGATGCTTTGCAGTACGGCATTTGTTAGCCCAGTGTCCCGTCATGCCACATTTGTAACAAGTCGTCTTCACCGAGGTTTTTGTAGGGCGATTTGTTTGATGGGCTTTTTGTTTGCCCTTGCCCTTGTAATTTGGTCTTTCGACCCGTTTATATCCTCGGTGGGACTTGTTATTATGGCCATTAAAATGCCCACGTTTAAAATGCCTTCTACTGACACTGTATGTTGCATTTGATTCAGTGGCTAAATTATGGCCAGATGGACCATAAACAGAAGGACTAGAACCAGTGGGTCTCAAATTATGATTTTTCATCAGAAGGTCATTATTTTGCTCAGCTACCAATAATACTGATATTAAGTCGGAGTATTTTTTAAAACCCTTTTCTCTATATTGCTGCTGTAGCAGCATATTAGAAATATGCATTGTAGAAAAGGTTTTCTCCAACATATCAGCATCAGTGACTTTTTGCCCACATAACTTTAGTTTGGATGTTATTTGGAACATAGCAGAATTATAGTCACTGATAGATTTAAAGTCCTGGAATCTTAGATTGATCCAGTCATACTGAGCTTTTGGCAAAAGTACCTTTTGCTGGTGACCATACCTCTCTTGTAAATTGTCCCATAATTCTTTTGGTTCATCAACCAAAAGATATTCAGATTTGAGACTTTCATGGAGGTGATGACGGAGGAAAATGATAGCTTTCGCTTTGTCTTGGGAAGATGATGGCTTATTTGCCTCAATAGTGTCTTCCAGACCGTTGGCCTTTAAATGTGCTAAAGCATCCACTTTCCATTCCAAATATTTTTGGCCGGACAGATCAAGAACGTCAAATTCCCTTTTGCTAATATTTGACATGATATACTACAAGAATGATTAATTTTGGTATAATTAGTAAAGTGCATATTTACATCAACAAATACTTACTAGTAGATTAATACCTCGTATTTCATAGTAGTATAAAGTATGATTAATGCTCTATCACAAATTTATTTACGGAACAAACTAGTTGTAATATAACTAAACTGAATAGGCTAATATCGTGACCACGTGCCTCTGATAGATTTAATTGTCATGTAGTATAATTTATCTCTTTTATTAATTTATTTGTAAAACTAAACGGTTGCCAAATGAAAAAGGCTTCAAGTATCTGATCATTTGTGCAGAACAGTCTGTTTCTTTGACGTAAATATTAGAGATATGTATGCACGTGAATTGTCTGACCCAGTGGCGGAACCAGGACTCGTGACTCGCAGGGGCACAATAACAAAGAAATCATATACTACGTACTACTAAAAAAAATCATATGCATCACGAATATAGCAATAAACAAAACTATAAAATTAAAAAAAAACTACTTAAAGAGTACCTTAATTTTGATTACAACCTGATGCGTCAAATGAAGGAGATTCATTGAGAGGGGACAATCTTTGTCTTCGAGATGTCATACTCTGAAATCGCTTCATAATGACTTCATTCTCAATTTTAACAAATATATCTTTCTCGATGTAACACACCAAGCAATCTGTCAAGTATTCCTCTCCCATCTTGTTGCGCAAATCACCAACAATGTCATCATCGGACAATTCAACTTCTATTCGATCCTTTTTAACATTATTTTCATTGTTAAGAATGACATTAGCTGATGAAGAAACTAAATTATTCGATGAAGAACCACCAATTCTTGGATGTTTAGGTTCCGGTGTATAATATCGTAACATAACGATATTTTGTCAAACAATCTAGGCCAATTACAATTGAAATAATATGAGTATAATTGTATAAATTACATTATAACAAATTAACAACATTAACTAAATCAGTAAATACACAATTATAACTTTACAATATAATTAACATTTTAATGAGATTATCAGTTATCACAACATAATTGCCAAAAACTTCAACACTGTATTTGAATTCAAGAAATAAAAGTATTCAACAATTAACATTTTATTTGAATTAAACAAATACAATTCAATAAATAAAATTTTTTAAATGAAATTATCATAAAAACAATTAGTTTAAGGCATTAAAAGGCTTACTAGGAGCCCAACCGTCCAGGAGTCTAGAGACGCAGTCGCTAATCGCTATTCTAGTTCCGACTCGCTGACTCACTGCTGTGATTTGCTGGCGTTACACGCAGGGGCAGAGGCTTGACCGCTTGAGTTGGGACTTGGGATCTTGGTGTTTTGGCTTTTGGGGAGTTGGGTTGTGGGCTGTCCCAGGGAAGAGTTTTTGGGATTGGGCTGGCACAAGGGAAAGGGCTAAGGTAAAGGGCTTTTGGAATTGGGCTGCAGGGGCTCAACTAATTAAATGTTAATATATACGAAGTATATACATATATATTATAAAAAGAAAGAAAAACACTGCAGGGGCACGAGCACCTCCGGGCACTAGGCTGGTTCCGCCCCTGGTCTGACCTTGAACGGTGCATGACTAGATACAAAAATATACAGAACCCGTGATAACAAAAAAACAAAACATCTTTCTTAAGACAAGATCATCCAGTAAATTTTATAATATTAAATATTAATATCTAATCGTAAATTGCCGCATGTGAGACACGTAACTCATTTCTCAGCCTTCTCATTTAAATATATATACTTGTTAGCATTTTTCTTTTCGGTGTTTACGTTACTTTAATTTAAAGCTCATCTAGCCAGGAACAACATTTTACTCATTAGGCCGCAGCTAGCTAGTTGACTAGTTCTTTCTACTTTCATCATCTATCATTCTTTTAATTCGTAAACTTCACCGGTGTATTAGTGTATATATCAGTCATCTTTATTTTACATTTGTTTAGCCTCTACAACATGTTCTTCTCTACACCCATACTGTGCTTACAATTTTGAGACACTCATACTAAAAAGGGAAAAGGGGCAAATAAGCCCTCGAACTAATAAAAAAAAAAGCAAATAAGCCCTTTTATAGGCGGTTCTGTCCGATTATCATCATTTAGGGAGGTTTTCGGTGGAATTTTTTCATAATTTTTTTTGAACATCTTCTTCATTAAGTCTAGTTTAGCCATACCGAATTTCAGTTAAAAATTCAACCGGGAAGGCACTCAAATGATTTTTGGAAATATACTGCGTTGTTTAACTGCACAGTTATCTTCAAAAATTCATTTGACTGTCTTCCCGATTGAATTTTTAGCTGCAATTCGGTATGACTAAACTAGACTTAATGAATAAGATGCTCAAAAAATTTCATCAAAAAATTCCACCGGGAACCTCTCCAAATGACAATGGCCGAACGGAACCTCCTACAAAAGGGCTTATTTGCACTTTTTTGATTAGTTCGAGGGCTTATTTGCCCCTTTTCCCTACTAAAAATTTATCGAGAACCAGTATTGTGTTTCGAAAACTCCCCTCATATCATTTTCTCCTCTATTAGTTGTCCACAATATTCTTCTATGAATAATTAAGTGATGATTATGGTGCTTTTATTTTATCAGAAGAAATCAATCATGCAAAGGTATGTTATTTGTATTATTTAATACGAAGTATATGCGTATATGATAGAAGATATTACTCCGTTATTTAAAACCCAGAATAATTTTCAAGTTTTGAATACTAAAATAAGATAATAAATATTGATGCTAATACCTGCAGGGGATGATGATTTCTTCAAGAGTTTTGAGCAGATTCGTGCTGATAACGTGTTGTGAAATGAAGAAGATGAAGAACAGATTTAAGAGATAGATATATTATTAATAACCTCTAAATAACTTCTTCTTTTATCTTTGAGATTTCTGATTTTCTAAGTTAATTTACAAGACTTCATCAAGCTCCTATTTATAGTGTTTGAGCTTGATGATTAGTCACCTAAATGATGAGTCTACAGATTTGGTGGCAATAACAAATTGAGCCACCTGTTCTAACTAGGTTACAAGGATCATTACAAGGATGATGAATAGCTAGGTGTCCTAATGACAAGGATGAACAATTCACACATGTGTTTCTCAGGAATTTACAACATCTTGCTCTAAATTGAAATGGTGCATAATTCCATTTGACATTTACTGTTTGACTTTAACTCCAACGACTTCTAGCATTCGGTCCAAGTCAATTAGTCATTTCTAAATACTCCCTCCGTCCCAGGGAGAAGTTCCCGGGTTGACTTTCACACATATTTAGGAAACAAAGTTACTGAGGGGTAAATTTTACTGTTTGGCACTGTTTCGACACTGTTTTGCACTGTTTCGACACTGTTTGGCACTGTTTTGCACTGTTTGACACTGTTTTGATGTAGGATAACTTTCCATTTAGGGAAATGAGAACTTTTTATTGGGACTATCAAAAAAGGAAAGTGCGAACTTCTCCCTGGGACGGAGGGAGTAAAAGTTTTACATCCATAATAAGCATTTTATTTCACGCATAATTGCATATACTCCGTAATACAGTAAAAAGTAGACATTTTTTGTTAGTTAAATTCCAAAAAGGGATTACCTTTTTAAAAAAAAGTGTCTATCTTTCAAAAAGTAAATTATTGATAATTCCGTGATTAGCATCAATTTCTGAAGTCAAAGGTTTTATGCCAGTATTGAAACAAATCAGCAGATCAGGCTGGAGCACTGATACAAATATACAATGGAGAAGGGAGACAGAGTGAAGGTAGCAGCTCTTACACTCGCCTCTTGCGCCACGCTTGCAATCTACATTTTCTTAGCGTCCAAACTTCATCATCGTAAAAGACGAAGTCGTAGAAATCCTTCGTCATCACCTCCTCCGTGTTATCTCAGAGCAGAACCCAAACCTCAGTACGATTTCAAACGTGTCTTGGCCGATAACTCTTATTCTCACTTCCAACACCTCAGCCTCCATCCCGCCAACACCTCCACCGCCGGTAACCGCCATAACTCTATTTTGTTTCATTTGTTGCTGTAAAAACTAAACTTTAAAGTTTTGTACTGTTAATCATCTCGATATTTAGGATCAAGGAGATACTAGAAACATATGAGTTTATAAGGCCTGGATAGAGTATCTCATAGAACTCGTGCAATCATTAAATTTTGCTTAATTGTGTGCTATTTGGTCACTTGAGTTACGCCAATACAGAATTGGATTGGATCACTCAACTAAATACATATAGGCACTTAGGACAGATCACACTTAAAAGGAACAACTTTCACCCATTAGTTCATTTGTTTCAAGATGATTCACTTGTCTCATTTAGAACTCTAGCAACTACGAGTGTGTAATATGAATTTGGTGTGTTTGATAGAGAAATGCACGAGTTTGCATCCATACATGGCAGAGATTTCGGCATTGCTGAAGGAGCCGAATCTGAAGGCTTTGGAGAATTATAATGAGAATTTGGATGAATTAAAGAGCCGTGGTTCGTATGTTTGGGTGGAAACTGGGTCACAGTTGCAGGAGTTGGCTGAAGTGTTGAGTGGGGAAAGGATATTTGGTGTAGATGTGGAGCATGATAGTGTGAGATCCTTCTTAGGTTTGACCTGCTTAGTTCAGGTTCACATATTGATTTTTTTTAAACTCTATTTTGTACACCCTTACTGAAATTTCCTCTTAGTAATTTGTCTCTATGTGTGTGCATAAGCTATGTATATTATACATATGTATAGAATTTTGATTAAATAAGAAATGACCTAAGGAGAGAAATGAAAATAAATACGGAGCAACAAATTTTAAAATTGTGCATTTTCTAAATCGAAAGATGCATTCTCATAAATGAAAAAACATGGAGTCATTTTTTTAAATGAAGTGATTTTTTTCTGTTATTGCAAAAAAACATGTAAACTCTATGAACCTCGATTTACACCACTTTGCATCATTCTCATTTTTCATCGGAAGAGCCATTCTAACCTGAACCGAACCATTCTCATATGTATTTCTCATATATACAAGTTCTAATGTTGGCTTTGGATGGGCGAAATAGATATCAACAAAGAGGGAGGATTATCTTGTTGATGCAATAGCCCTCCATGACTTGATGGGCATCCTTCGGCCTATATTTGCTGATCCAGGGATTTGTAAGGTAATTCGTTTAGACTGTGTATAGAACTGAGAATTTATATGTAAAGAGAATTGTCTTTCTTTGCGTGTGTTTACATTGGAAATTATGAAAGAGTCAAAGTTGACTATTTTTTAAAATTCCACGTATGTGCGGGTTATAAATTTCCATCAATTCCAATAGCCTAAGACTCACTATTTTATGGCTTGGGAATGTGATGGAACAAAACAGAATGGCTCACTAAACTGTGCACACTTCTTTCTTATGAAGCAGCCGTCAGTTCATGCAAAATTTTCTATGCAATTTTCATCATGGGTCATCCGGAAACAGTCTCTGTGCTTTAGTACAGGGGTATGGCTGCGTACATCCGAACCCCCTTACCCCACCATAGGTGAGAGCCTTTGCGGCACTGGGGTAATGTTATTGTTGTTGTTGTTTCGGGAATGCGGGTTATAAATAAAACATGTTCATTAAAATATCTGAAATTGATCTATTGATTTTCCCCAAAAATTTGATCCCGGATTGATCCTTGATGAAATGTTGCAGGCCATTAAGGTTTTGTGTGTTTGATTCTTCGTTTATTATTGGATTTTTAGCTTTGCCCTTTTTTATGAAACTAGTATGCCTTTTTTCATCGATTATCTTTGTTTGTGCATTAGGTATTCCATGCAGCTGATAATGATGTTCTCTGGCTTCAAAGAGATTTTCATATTTATGTTGTTAACCTATTTGACACTGCAAAGGTAAAGTTTGTCAAAAAAAAAATATAACCACCTTAAAGTTTTTCTAGCCGTCAAGATTAGTAGATTATTGCTCCTTGTGATTTTATAAAGGTTTCAATGTTTCATATTGCAGGCATGTCATGTTTTGTCTAAACCGCAGAACTCATTGGCATACTTGTTGAAAACTTATTGTGGTGTCATTACAAATAAACAATTGCGAGTAAGGTTCAAGGTTCAGTTATTGCAATCTCTTTCTCGCACAATATAAACCATATCGTTTCATTCCCATATTGGATTGGGTAAATGGGCATTTGTATGTGATATAATAATTCATTATTGAGTCAGGGTCACACAATTCAGTTATTATAATGAAAATTGTTGAACTACATGGTGTAACGTGTTAAAACAGCTTACAATATTTGAAGATTTAAATGACAGAGAGAAGATTGGAGGCAACGTCCTCTGCCAGAAGAAATGCTGCATTATGCTAAAAAGGATTCACACTATCTGATGTACATTGCGTGTTGTGTTTATAAGGAGCTGAAGATACACGATTTAGGTATTCTAAATTTATTTATTTAAATGACTATATCCTATGAATTTCACATTTCCTATCTATAGGTTACTTCTTTACTTGCTTCTTTATGCACAGAAAGTTCACCATGTCTCAAAAACAAATTGACTTTTGTTCTTGAGGCCACTAGTCGTTCCAATGCAACTTGTTTGCAACTATTCTCAAAAGTGATTGAAGCATATCCGGGATACTCTGCTGCTTCGTCAATAATTTCTCGATGTCATCGGTACCAAGGAAATCTCCCTTCCAACTTTGTCAATGCAAAGGTCTTATACTTTCAGTGTTAAGAAAATCTTCCACTTTTAGCCGCATGACTATTTAAGTCATTCCAATTTTTTGTCTAGGGCGATCATTATTCAACTTTGGGTTCACAAATGTAGAGTTTTTTTATTGTTTTCTACTTCTGGTCTCTCTAATCAATCAAGTGCCAAATTCTGCAATTCTTTCAATTTTTGCCACTTTAAAAACTGAAAAGGACCAAAACTGACACAAAATCATGGTAATGAACCAACAGGGGCAATAATGAAAGCCTGGACTAAAAATTGTAAATAGAGTGTAATAGTCGTGTGATTAAAATTTTTAATGTTTCAATCTTTTATTGGAAGAGTTTGTTAGATACCACTAAATGCTATTAACCTTATATCTTTTATGTTCGATTTGGCATTTAGTTTCATGACCTTGTGAGCAGACTGTGTGCATGGAGAGATATTATGGTGAGTCATGACTCATGAGTAGACTACGATTATTTTCAGTCACTGGTTTCTTTATCTGTTAATTCATGTGTTATGGTTTTCTTAGTTGGACATACTTACATAATCTCATTTTAACTTCATAATATAATTTGATATTCTTTTAGGCTCGAGTTCATGATGAAAGTTTAAGGTATGTTTTATCTGATCAAGCACTTGTTGCACTAGCAGCTAAAGCCCCTACAGATGTTAGAGATATACGCAAAATCATATCTCAATCCCATCCAAGTGTGTATCACATATCATCATTTCAATCTCCATCATCTCTAGCTTGTAGTCATATGGAATACTTTATGAGTCACTTATTTCAAGATGAAGTAGGTGAGGATGAGGAAAGCCTTCTTGAAATCCTTCAGAAATGCTTAGGTGTTAATGGAAGTTGTCCTCTCTTCGCCTATAATATTGCTTTGTTATCTGAAAGTAGCTTGGAAGTAGCCGACAGATCTGTGGTTAGAAATAAATCCGCAAAATCGTCTCTGGCTCGGAAGGCTCTTCAAGAGCTGTTTGACAAAACACAGCATTGCAAATCTCCAGTCTATGACAACTGTAGGATCTATACAAGTGATGGTCGGTTTTTAAGTTTCTGTGGCCGTAGAAAACTCGAGTGGTTAGTACAAATTTCATACACTTTTTTAAAACAAGCCTGGCAGCATATTAGACTTGGAATACGAGTCTCAACTCAAAATCTTATTTATCACTGCTCTCTCTTTTTAGTTTATTCAATACTACGTATGAATCTCTAATTCTCCCCTCCCTTTAAGTGGACGACTGAACCATTTCGAATCTAACCAATTGGTCACTTCCATTTCGGACAGACAACTAGAAAAACAAAATTGGGCTAAACCTTCTTTACTATGATAGAAATCAGGATTGTATTGAAATTCTTTGAGCCAAACCATACTATAACATTGAATCCATTCTGTTAGCTACTTAGCTAGTTCAACCATTGTGTTATCAACTCATCATTCTCGCTTTTTTTTAGGTGGGACTAACACCTTTATCAACATAGGTTATACGAAGTATATTAACTAGTAAGCTTATTGCAGGTATCTAAAGAAGAGTTTGGCAAAACTTGTTGAAGAGGACCCTCCTGCTATAATGCTTCTGTTTGAACCCAAACGACGTCCAGAGGATAAGGAGAAGGACTTGTGTTATGAAAATAAGAAAAATGTGTGTGTTCGATGTGGTGAAGGTGACCGTTACTTAAGATACCGTATTATACCTTTGTGCTACATAAAGCACTTCCCGGAACACTTTAACAGTTACAGATACCATAATCTTGTTCTCCTTTGTGTGGACTGCCACGAAATTGCTCATGCTGCTGGTGAAAGATACAAGGAGAAGATAGCTGAAGAGATTGGAATACCACTTTTTGTTGGTAAAGATGTTGATGGTTCTAGCCAGAATAAGAAACACACCCCACCAGATTTTGTTGTTTCAGATCATAATAATAATAATAATAATAATAATAATAATAATAATAATAATAATAATAATAATAATAATAATAATAATCAAGAGTCCAATACTGACATCATATGTAATCCAGTTGTATCAGAAAATGGGAATATCTCTACTGCGAGTGATTTAGTTGTACAAAGTGACGAGAGTGTTTCTTCTGAACAGTCAAAGGAATCAATGTTTGGGCATGGACCACATGGGAAGCGGGTTGTGGAATTTATACTCAAAGAACATGGGGACGAGGGAATTCGTGAATTTATTCAGAGATGGAGAGGAAATTTTGTAGAAGCCATTCATCCCCGTTTCCTGCCTGCACGTTGGAATACAAAGCACATGTTTGATTGAATCCTGTCCTACGATATAATGTTTGTGATAGGTATACATACAACACACAATATGTATTATCTTATAAACAACAACACTTACGTAAAAGATACTCCGTAACACATTTCTTGTTTCTTTAACTAAGAAATGTTGATTGATGCGGTGATGCCATGCTCTTTCACAAGCGATATTAGTTTCTAATGTAAAAAAGGAAAGAAAATGTTTGATTAATGGAAACTAATGGAAAACTAATGTTTGAGTAATTTACCAAAAAAGTCGAATCTTACATGTATATATTCAACTAGATCAATAATACTCCCTCTGTCCCGTTCAAATTGTCTCATTTTACATTTTCAAGAAATCCCACTATTGCTGTCAATCCTGTCATATACCAAATTTGGTAAAATTTGTGTGATTCTAAATCATTCTTACATAAATGAGTTTTAGGTATATTTAAATGATTCTAAGGTTTAATATTAAAGAAATGAGCATCAGTATTACTTTTTCAATAAATATAATTTTTTTTAAAGGAGTATACATTAATTATGAGTATTTTCTTAAAAGAAAATAGAAAAAAGTACAGATAACCTACCTGTGGTTGAGGTCATTTGCGGAGAGGGTCCTGCGTTTAACTTTTTCCCAAACTAATATTCGTGGTTTAATTCCGTTAGCGCCACAGGGACTCAGCCCATTGGCCGTTAATAAAGGCTGACGTGGATATTTTTTTTATTCAATTGGGTTCCGCGTGGGGTGTGGTAGGGCCTTGTCATTAAAACCCTTTGACTTCAGTCATTTAATATGTTTAAGCAAGGTTTAATAAGAGGAACGATAGGGCTGGAGCAATTCTAACGATGAGTTATTCGAAATCCAACTCTAGTGCAAACAGCAGGAGGATGGACGGACGAAGTGAATGGATTACGAGGTGCGACTGTGGTATCCAAGCTCCAATCTGGACAGCTACGACGGAGAAGAACAAAGGGAAAAAATTTCATGGGTGCGGTAGATATTTTGCAGGTGGGGCTGAAAAATGTAATTTTTTTGAGTGGGTTGATGATAGCGCTTGCGGAATGCCCCATGACACCATTGAATGTCTGTTTGACAAGATTGGAAGCGTTGAGGAACATTTGAAGGTTCAGCAGTTGGAATTCCAGACTGCAATGAACTCTTGCTTGAGTGGGATCGCTGAGTTGAAGAAACAAAATGGCGAAATCCTAGTGGCGATTGCTAAGTCTCACAATTCATGTTTGAAGATGAAGATGATTTGGTTGTTGGGTATTGTTGTTATACTACTGGCTAGAAAATTATTTTAGGTTTACAATGTTGCTAGGTGTTCGATGTAATGACTGAATGAAAATGTAGTGTATTTTTTGGTTTTGTTTGTTCAAGTATGTGTCAAGAATGGTTATTTGTTATGAACTGACTTCATGTATGTGTCAATTATTGTCATGTGTTATGGTAATGTATTATCAAGAGTTAAGGACTTCACTTATTTGGTTGGCTTGACTTGTATTGTTGTCAGAATGCATGGGTTACCCCCAACTGTTAAGAACTGAGTTAAAACAAAGTTTAAAAGAACTCAGAATGTAAGTGATAAAAAGAAGGTCTAAAAAGAATTGTTAAGAACTGAGTTAAAACAAGGTTTAAAACAACCTAGTAAACAAAAGCAACTACACCAACCTTGTACCAATGCAAAAAAAAGGCAATTGAACAAAAACGACCCACAGGCCTTGTACGTTACACACCCCTAGCCAAATGTTACAAAACATGTCTGTCATAAGCATCCAAAAGTTATCCAAATGTGTCAATACACATCATAAACAATTACATGTGTCAATAGAAGGCAAAAAGAACCCAATGGGTTTTTACATTTACATTACGCATAAACTTAACCAAATGTGTCAATACAAGGCAAAAACAACCCAAAGGGCTTTTACAATTACATTCCCATTACATAAGCACCATGAACATATTATGATGATACTCCTGCCTCCTCCTGTAACCTTCAATTATTTCCAGCATTACCATTCTGCAAGCAACAACCCAATCAGTTAGAATTGCTGTTAAGTTACACATACTACATAATAAACAAGTACTTCAATTACCATAGATGGTTGTGAACTGCAACTCCTAGTTACTCTTCTGCATGATGGCTCGGGCTGTGTGCTACCTCTGCCTCTCTTCTTGGTTGGTTTTGTGTTTGCTCTACTCACAGGTTGATGGCCAGTACAGGGTGGCTGCTCTTGTATCTCACCATCCCTTTCAGCTTGCCTAGCCTTAACCTTAGCTAATCTATTCCTTCTCTGCCATGGTGTTTCCCCTGTAATTGAGGTTTTGCACCCTCTAACATTGTGGCCTACTTGATTACAATTTCCACAGAGTACTTGTTTCCCAGCCCTAGATACTTTATATGGATTCCTGCTTTCATCAGCCTGTTTTACCCTCTTTTTTTTGGGCCTACCAGCTGGTTTTCTTGGAACTGGGGGCAGAATGTCAGGAAACTCTGTGGTCTCCCATTCTTCTTTACTTGGCACAGGGTGAATGATGTGTTCATAGACAGCTAGGTATGTGGCTTTTGAGTAATATGAGCTGACATATGTCTCTGGTTTTTCCCTATTAGCAAATATTGCACATATGCCATGCTTACATGGAATTCCATTTAAATCCCACATTCTACATGTGCAACTTTTTTCTTTCAAATTGACCACATGACTAGTATCATAAAAATCCACCTCATACAGTTTATCCCCAGCTGGGGTGGCATAACAGTTCCTACTTTCATATTTCAATTTCTCAAGGAGATCCTGTTTATTTGGACATATATCACCTTTATACTTCAACATTGCAGTGTACTTCACATGAAATCTCTTCATCATCCTTTTCCTTATCCATTCAAACATGCTAAGTATGGGCATAGATCTAGCTCTAAGAATGTATGCATTAAAGGACTCACACATGTTGTTTTGAAGCGCGTCAGAATGAGCATGTGGAGAGAAATGAGCCCTACTCCATGTCTTGGGATCATATTGCATCAACCAGTTGTAGGCAGCCTCATCAAAGGTCTTGATCCCCTCCATTCTTTTCTGCCATGACCTCAAGCTCCCTGTGCTTGCAGCTAACCACAGTTTCTTCTTGTACTCCCCAGCACTGAAGACTTTGCGAAAGTTCTCATACATATGTCTTACACAATACCTGTGCTCATTCTTCAGATTTACTGCCTTAAAGGCCTCAACTAACCCCTGAAAGATAAAAAAAGTAGAGACCAAATAGGGCCTGAAATCAGAGTGAAAAAGTATGGAAGACATAACACATATAAATTCAAGTAATATAATATCCTAACACACATAAGAACCAGATTTAAGGTAAAATAATACCTTTTGCTTGTCAGACATAAACACCCAATCAGTCTCTTCTGGTCTTCCAAAATCTTCAAACATCACCTCAAGAAACCATGTCCAAGATGCTTTGTCTTCACTATCAACATAAGCAATGGCTATAGGAAACATGTTTTCATTTCCATCCCTAGCAACTGCACACAACAGTTGCCCTCCCATAGAAGTCTTCAAATGACAGCCATCAAGACAAATCAAGGGTCTTATACCTGAAAAATAACCTTGCTTTTGTGCTGTGAATCTCATGTACATGTATTGTAACATGGGCAGCTCTCTGGGTACCCTATGAACCCCTTCTTCACCACCACCAACCTCTTCCTCAACCTCCCTGAGCTCAGTTTTTATCTTAACAACACTGCCAGGGTTAAACTTGATGACAGTTTCAGCATAATCTCTCAACCTTCTGTATTGCTCTTTAATGTCACCAGTAATCTTGGCCTTAGCTTTAACCCTAGCTCTGTAGCACATGGCTAGACTGACTTCTGCACGCAACTGTCTTTGAATTGTTTTTTGCATAGCATTGACATCCCAGTCTGGGTTGTCCCTTAACTCATCCAAATATTTTTCACTCAAATACGTGCTACTGATTAAACAATTTCTATTAGTAAAAGGACAGTCATGCTTAGGTCTAAAAGTTTTGATTTCAAAATAAGGAGCATCCCTAAGCTGTGAACCATGGACCCTGAATGAACATGTTTCCTTATTTTTACATACAACAGAGATATTGGCTCTAGTGTTCTTCTGATATGTGAAATCAAATCCAGCTTTGATAGCCCAATCCTTTAGTGCTTTTCTGAATTCATGATGTGAAGAAAATTTCATACCTTTGCGCAAATCACTGACCTTAGATGTGGTTCCATAGGTAAACTGACCATGCCCAGCCTCATCATCTGATGATCCCCTGAGGCTATGTAGATCTTCACTATAGGCAGGAATTTCATTGAATTCCCCCAAATCTTCTTCATTTACCACTGTATGCTCAACAAGCCTACCCTCATTTGCTTCTTCTGCTTTTTCTGCTTTTTCTGCCAAGTCCTCTTCTAAATCATCTATTGCCTCATGGAACAACTCTTCCTCACTTCCTTGTAGATCTTCATACAACCAGGTGGTTTCACTAAGGTTGGAATCAGACTGGTAAATAGAAGAGCTATCACTCACAGGGGTTGAGCACTGATAATCTTCATCTGGCTCACTTTCCTCACCAAATTGGATTCCTAAAATAGTAAGGCTTGGATCAGTTGGATCTTCAGATCGGGTAATTGGTGGAGTGTGGTATATTGGTGGACTTTGGGTAGGCAATGTAGTGTGGGCTTCCTCTGAAGTTTGGGTAGGCAATTGACAGTGGGTTGCCTCAACAGTTTGGTTAGGTAAAGAAGTCTGGGCTGAATTTTTGGAATTAGGTTTGGGGGGGCTTTTTGAAAAATTCCCCTTTTTACTATTTTTAGAAACAAAATAGACATCAATGTGTGGGTCCATGATCTTGCAAACCAACATGTCCTGCACATCTTTATCACAACCAATTTCTTGCAAAGAAACAGGCCCACACATCTCACTAAACCTTCTAAACCACATATCTACCCCATTCGTATAACCCAAGTCCTGAGCATACCCATCTAACTCAAACTTACTAAGGTAGTCTATGTCCACATTCTCCATTTTCTTTACCTCACCTCCCAAATATTGTTTCTTCTTCTTCGGACAATCCCATTTCCCACCATGGTGAATCCACAGGTTCACGTGCTCATCGTCCATTCCCAGCCTCTACAAAAAAATCACAAAAATAACCAAAACTAAACATTTAATTCCATCTGTGCTTCATCCCTAACTTTAACGACGCCACACACAATAACGAAACCCAACAGTGAAGTAGCTTTCATGAGTATTAAACTGACCTAAAGAGCAGCAACAAGAAATTTTGAGTGAGCTTCTTCTTCTTCGTAGAATAACCGTGCCCTAAATTGTCGTTTGGTACTGTAATCCGTTCGTAGCAAGTAAAACAGGCCCGCACTTAAGTCATATTGCACATGTAATTCAAATTAGATTCTGACGTGGATAAATTTCCCCCACGCGGCAGCCATTAACGGGCCACGTCATTATTTCCTAACGGAAATGGGCTGAGCCCCCTGTGGCGCTAACGGAATTAAACCACGAATATTAGTTTGGGAAAAAGTTAAACGCAGGACCCTCTCCGCAAATGACCTTAACCACAGGTAGGTTATCCGTACTTTTTCCAAGAAAATACAACATTATAAAATGAACACATTATTTGACATAATTAAAAAGTATTTTTTTTAACCTCCAAGAAGTAAGAATAGATCTCTAACTAGCCACATCACATTCACCACAAATTTCAATTTCTTTCAATAGAAAACCAAAACTCAAGCATAATAACGACATAGTTATATAAAAAAAGAGAAACGGTTTCCCTCCCTGGCTTTCTAGGGTTTATGATTCCTTCACTGGTTTTCATTGTCTTTGTGATCGCGAGCCTGTATAATCTGGAGTACATAATGACAGATACTATGGAAGATTTGTGTGCTCGATTGTCCTTAGATGACGTGGATACTGAGGAGGTTGACATTGATGAAGCAGTTACAGACGAGGTGCCATCTTTCTCTCTTTTTATAGTGGTTGGCCAAATTCTTACAGACAAACAAGTTCAATTTTCCTTCTTTAGAGATTCGATGGCTGACAGATGGAGACCCGGAAGAGGGGTTAATACCAGGGAGGCAGGTGATAAGAGGTATATCTTCCAATTGTTCCACGAAGTTGATGTTAATAGGGTCCTGGCTGAAGGCCCTTGGACTTATGATAACTGTTTATTGATTTTACACCATCTGGAGGCTAATGAAAATCAAATGACTGTGCCATTACTGCATGAGAATTTCTGGCTGCAAGTTCATCATTTACCAATGTCCTACTTTATGGAGAAGATAGCACAAATTATTGGCAGACATGTTGGAAGCTTTGTGATGGTTGATCAGAATAATTTTGATGGTGGCTGTAAGGAATTTATGCGCATAAGGGTGAAGCTGGATGTAACTGTTCCATTGAAACAGTGCATGAAGTTAAAGAAAGGGGCCGAAAGTGTGTTGGTTGATTTCCACTACGAAAGATTGCCGCATTTCTGCTTCATCTGCAGGTTGATGGGCCATGTTGATAGGCACTGTCCTAAGTGGTTTACAGGCTTTACGGCTGACCAGGAGAGACCATTTAGGGTGTGGTTGCGACATGGGGGGGGGGGGGGAGAAAGGATAACGGGCACAGAGGTAGCAAATACCTGGTGGATGGCAATGGGGGTTTTTTTTATGCAGACGAAAGGTGCTCCAAACGGAAGACCGACCGGTGCTTCTGGTAAGTTTTCAGAGGAGGCCTCTAGGAAGGAATGTGCTCAAGTGGGAACGACCAATACTGTTCCAGTAAAGTTGACAGAGGGGAACTTAATTGTGAGGACCAATGAGGCTAACTCGGGAACTGTAGGGATACAGAAGAAGCGGAAGGTCAAGGCAGCTGAACTTTCAGAAGGTGATTACTTGACTTGGGAGAATGAAGAATCTTGCTCAAAAAACGTGTTGGAGGCGGGTCCTAGTTGCCAGGCCCGCTCGGAACCATGAGTTGCTTAAGTTGGAACTGTCGAGGGCTTGGCAACCCTGCGGTAGTTCAAGCATTGGTGGATTTAGTCCACTTGAAGCGGCCTAGTTTAGTATTTTTTAATGGAAACATTTCCGAATTTGGCAAGGATTGAGGAGGTACGTGGAAAGGTTAATATGCAGTTCAGTTTTGTGGTGGAAAGTTCAGGCCACCGTGGAGGCTTAGCCCTCTTATGGGGGGATGGGTAACAAGTTCAGGTTCAAAACTCTTCAAATAACTTTATAGACGCGCGAGTGATTTTGGAGGAAGGTGACCCCCCTTGCGTTTTACTGGCTTCTACGGTTGCCCGGAGAGGCATCGTAGAAGGGAGTCTTGGGATATGCTTCGTTCTTTGAGTGAAAGTTCTCATTTGCCATGGCTAATTGCAGGAGATTTTAACGATCTCTCTGGGATTGTGGCTTGCACAACTTTCCATTCATGGGTTACCAGTTCACATGGGAACGGTGGAGAGGCACGCCAAACTGGGTAGAAGAGAATCTGGATAGGTTTTTGGTCTCTAATGATTGGTTGGACAGATTTGGAGATGCAGCAGCCGAGTCTCTTGAAGGATCTCCCAATGACCACCTTGCTCTCTTTATTCGGCTTATTCCAACAAGGGGAGTTAAACGACGACGGAAATTTAAGTTTGAAAATGTATGGCTCAGAGAGGATGATTGTCGAGAGGTTGTTGCAAGAAGTTGGCTGGCAATTAGAGGCGCTGGAGTGGTCGGGCAGATTGAGGGTTGTAGTCGAGCAATCGGGGAATGGGGCCGAGGCAAATCTGGACTTTGGGGTAAATGTATCTCTTGCTGTAAGAGAAAATTAAACTCCTTACGATACCGGTCTGACTCCTGTGGATTAGAAGAATTTAGGAGAGTTAAAGGAGAATATTTGGAACTCTTGGAAAAAGAAAACTAATATTGGCGTCAGCGGGCGAAGGAGTCTTGGCTCCGACAAGGGGATTTAAACACACGCTTTTTTCATAATGCGGTAAAACAACGAAGAAGGAAGAATAGAATTGAGAGATTTAAGCTTGATGGTGATAGGTGGGAAAGGGACAGATAGGCCTGGGACCGGTTCGGTTCCTAGGCAAAATATGTGGAACCGTTTGAAAATATGAAATTTTACTAACGGTTCGGTTCTTATAAATTATTTTAAAGAACCGATAAGGAACCGAACCGTTCTTAACGGTTCGGTTCTTGTCATTTAACGGTTCCTAGTCTTTGAAAAAATTCTTACAAATCACGACTAAATTTTTGCCAAAAAGACATTCAACGTTCAAAATCTCAATACATATATGCTGAACCAGTTAAAGAGAATAATAATTTTAAATACTCTGGACCTTCCGAGTTCCGACCAGCTGGAGTTTGGACCTAATGAGAGGCCTAAGAAGCCTAAGAGAACCGGTTGAAATAAATAATAGTTTTAAATAGTTATATAACTAAACTAAAATAATGAATATAATATGAAATTAAATAAGTAAATATACATTACAATATATATATTCATAAAAAATATATTTAATTTTAATTATTATATATAACGGTTTCTTAACGGTTCCTGGTACATATTTTTTTCAGGAACCGAGAACCGAACCGTTAATAAAAATTAGGAACCGAACCGTTAACAAATAACTAATAAATATCGGAACCGAACCGAACCGGGTCATAACGGTTCGGTCCGGTTCGATTCTCCGGTTCTTGGTTCCAAAGTCCCAGCCCTAGGGACAGAGGTGAAGTTGGCAGAATAATTAGTGATTATTTCACTAATATTTTCACAGCGATTCAAGGGAATTCTGATTTTGTCTCCAGTTGTGTGAACAGGAGGATCAATGACCATCACAATATGGAGCTGTTGCGCCCCATCAAAGCAGAGGAGGTGAAGTCAGCACTTTTCACCATGTACCCGGATAAGTCCCCCGGGCCCGATGGAATGAGTCCATGATTTTTCAGCACTTTTGGGATTTGGTGGGACCGGATGTTGTTGAATTTTGTATAACGACCTTTGAGACGGGTAGATTGCCGGAGCATGTGAACCATACTAATATTGTTTTGATACCAAAAAAAGAATGCCCAGAAGTTCTGGGAGATTGGCGGCCCATTGCCTTATGCAATGTTGTGTATAAGATCTATGCAAAATTATTAGCAAATAGGATGAAGGGCCTATTGCACACATGTGTTTCCGAGCAGCAAAACGCCTTCATTCCAGGGAGATCGATCATCGACAATATTATGATAGCCTTCAAATCTCAGCATTACCTCAAGCGGAAGCGACAAGGTAAGGTGGGGTTTGCGGCACTCAAATTGGATATGAGTAAGGCCTATGATCGTGTGGAATGGAATTTTTTAGAGCGGATGTTAGAATGCCTTGGGTTTGCTAGCAGATGGGTGCAGATCATTATGGAATGTGTGCGGTCGGTGTCATACTCTATTCCTTTTTATGAGACCGAGCTTGGACCTATTCTCCCGACCAGGGGTTTGAGACAGGGAGACCCCCTTTCCCCTTATCTGTTTATTATTGTGGCAGAGGGCCTGAGTGCCCTTATTCGACGGCAGGAAGCAATAGGGCGAATCCATGGAGTTGCAGTTGCCACTTGCCAGGGGAGCCCCACGGATATCTCACTTGCTTTTTGTTGATGATAGCTTGTTATTCTTTCAGGCTAACCAAAGAGAGGCGGAAGCTGTCAAGCGGGTGCTTACTGATTATGAAGCGGCATCTGGACAGGTGATTAATTTTCACAAGTCCAAATTATTCTTTAGTAACAATGTGGCTGAAGATAGTAGAGACTTGCTAATTTCCATGTTGGGTGTGGGGATGGCCGGGGGCGAGGAAAAATATTTGGGTCTACCGGCCTTATTTGGTAAAAGTAGAAAACAAATTCTAGACTTTTTAAAACAAAGAATATTAAAAAAATTCATAATTGGAATAATCGCTTCCTATCCAAAGCCGGGAGAGAAATTCTCTTGAAAACAGTCATTCAATCGATGCCGACCTATGCGATGAATGTTTTTTTATTACCCAAAGAACTATGTCGGGAGATAGAAGTCCTTATGAATGGCTATTGGTGGAATGGGAAATCCGGGAAAGGGATTAGATGGACTAATTGGGAGACTCTATGCAAGCCCAAAAAAGCTGGTGGTCTGGGGTTTAAAAGGATTAGAGAGTTCAATTTGTCTATGCTTGCAAAGCAAGCCTGGAGGTTGTTCTCAGAACCCGGATCACTGGTAGGTCGGGTTTTTAGAGCACGCTACTATAAAGGAGGCGATTTTCTATCTGCCAGGTTAGGTGGCAATCCCTCCTTTATCTGGAGGAGTTTAGTTGAGACGCAGGATATGATTCGAGAGGGCTACAAATAGAGGATTGGGGATGGCAGGTGTGTCAACTTTTGGGACGAGCCTTGGCTGCCTGACGAGGATAATCCCAAAGTATCTTCAGATAAAGTTCAAGGGCTAGAAACGGCTTTGGTGAATGGACTTATTAATGATGAAACTAAAATTTGGGATGATGATATTCTGAGGGACGTCCTTAATAGCAGGGATAGAGCATTAATTTGGCAGATTTCTTTGAGTAGGTGTTTGGTGTCTGATAAACGCATTTGGAGGTGGGAACCAGGGGGTTGCTTTTCTGTCCCCAGTGCTTACCGTCGCCTTATTGGCGAGTTTCAAGTAGCAGGAGGACTTGAGTGGACTAGGATCTGGAACTAGAAATTCCCCCCTAAAATAAAATTCTTTTTTTGGCAGGTGTGTACAGGGTGCCTTCCAACTACGGAGAATTTGCATCGCCGAAAGGTGGAATGTCAGGAGAAATGTGGTCTTTGTGGAGAAGAAGGGGAATCTTTGACGCATCTCTTTATCAGGTGTTCGGTAGCTAAAGAGGTATGGAACATGACTGGGCGCTTTTGTGTGAACCAGTCGAATGATTTTTGTGAGTGGGTAGCTCAAAATTTCCGAACTAGGAAAGAAGAGGACTTACAGGTGATGGGTGTGGGGATGTTGGGTGATCTGGTGCGAGAGAAACAAGAGAGTTTGGCAGGGGGAAATGGCTGCAACGAGTCAAGTGGTGCACCGGGCCAGAACTTTTGTTGAAGGTTGGCAACTAGCGCAGGCCGCTGGAAGTCAGCCCGTAGCCGGGACAGTTGCTGGTCCATCCTCATGGCAGAAACCTTCTACAAGTCGCTTGAAGCTTAATGTTGACGCTTCACTCCAGGGAGAAAGATGCGGTTGGGGTTGGGTGCTGCGGGATGAAGAAGGGATGTTCGTTGCAGGAGGAGTTGCTTCTTGTTGGGGGAAATTCTCACCGATTGAAGCTGAACTGATTGGTATCCGTGAGGCACTTAGCTGGCTGAAGGGACCAAGTTGGAATCGGGTGGATGTGGAATCAGATTCTACTTGGGCAATTTCTGAAATCCGGAAGGGATCGAGTATATCTTCATTGGGTCTTCTGGCAGATGACATTAGAGAAGCAAGCAAGGAATTTAGTAGTATTTCATTTTCACATATTAGACGTTCTGCGAACAGGGTTGCTCATACTCTAGCTAGAGTGGCCGGTTCTAAGTCTAAATGTCGGTTTTGGTTGACGATTCCTCCCTCTTTTATTGTTGATGTATGGAACAATAATTTGATTGATGATAATTAATTCATTTCCCTTAAAAAAAAATTAAAAAGTATTTTTCTTATTATTCTCATTACAAATCTACTACTCCGTAATAATTAAGCAATTAGCCTAATTATACTAAGTTTGTTTGCGAACAATATATAATACATTTGTGAATTATTAAAATGAATTTTATTTTATAGTCATTTTATGAATTACATTTATGAAGAATATGTGTTGAACATTTTAAAATGCACAATATTACGTGTTCACTGTTGCGTTTTTGTAATTTTGTTATACCCGGAGTATTAAAATGATTATAAAGTCTAAAATGAGTGCGCATTAGAGTATGAAATTGACAAAATGAAATTATAATTCTTGAATGGGGAATCATAAAAACTTTTTGGTGGTGTGTTCATTATATTTATCCTCGAACTAACTTAAAAAGTACAATTCATCTTTTGTATAGGAGATTATGTTTGGCCGTCGCCAATTGGGGCGGTTTTTGATGAAATATTTTCGATGGAATATTTTGAACATCTTTTTCATTAAGTCTAGTTTACTCCTATCGAATTTCAGCTAAAATTTCAATCGGAATGACACTCAAAAAATCAAATAACTGTCTTCCCAATTAAATTTATGAGTAAATTAGATTTAATAAAGAAAATATGGAGTATTAAATGGGACATCAAAAATATTTATCAAAAAATTACATCCAAACCGTGCCAATTAAACTAGCCTTCCATTCGCATTTCTTTATCAGAGTATCAGGCGGCGTCATAGATAGATACGGTACGATTCGATTGTCAATGGAGAACAAAGTGAAGCTAGCTCTCAAACTGACAATCGCATCTTGCATCACTCTTGCAATATCCATCTTCCTAGCATCGAAACTGAAAAATCCTCGAAGACGAAGTCGGAAGCTGAAACCTTCTCCCTGCTATCTCAAAGCAGAACCCAAACCTCAGTACGCTTTCAGGCGCGTCTTGGCGGACAACTCCTACTCTCCCTTCAAGCACCTCAAAGTCCATTCCACCTCCGGTACTTGCTGGACATTTTTCTTCTAACGATTTTTTTTTGTTCGCAATCTTCAAGTTGAAGCTGGGTTTAACGAAATTTGACGTGTTTGATAGATGAATGCGGGGATTTGCATCCGTACAAATCTGAGATATCAAACTTGTTGAATGAACCGAATGTGGAGGCTTTGGAGATGTTAAACGAGGATTTGGAGGAATTGGTGAGCCGTAATTCGTACGTGTGGGTGGAGACCGAGTTGCAGCTGCAGGAGCTGGCGGAGGTGTTGAGTGGAGAGACAATATTTGCTGTCGATACAGAGCAGCATAGTTTGAGATCCTTTTCAGGTTTCACTTGTTTAATTCAGGTTCGAGTTTTATCACTCAATGTTGTGTCTCGATGTAATTCAGTAATTGCGCATAAAATATTTTTCGATACAATATGTTGTATATGCCTCTGCAATACTGCAAATAACAATTGCAATTTTTATCGTGTGGCTTTACATGTGATCACTAGATATCAACTAAGAAGGAGGACTATCTTTTGGATGCAATAGCCCTGCATGACATGATAGGAATTCTTCATCCTATATTTGCTAATCCAGGGATTTGTAAGGTAATTCATTTATCATATACAGAGCAACAAAATAATCGATGCACCAGATTGATGAAATGTTGATGTTCTGATATGGTTTTTTTCATTATTGTCTTTTCTCATGATATACTACTCCATATTTCTAGTGTCTTGTCTGCTTTAGGTATTCCATGGCGCTGATAATGATGTCCTCTGGCTTCAAAGAGATTTTCATATATATGTTGTTAATCTACTTGACACTGCAAAGGTAAAGTTCGTTGATGTTTTAACCTTGGAGCTTCTGTTATGTGACTAAGAAATGCTAACTACTTTAAAATTTAAATTTGATTTCTTGTGATGTTATATTGCAGATATGTGATGTTTTGTCTAAACCACAAAGGTCTTTGGCTTACTTATTGGAGACATATTGTTGTGTTGCTACTAATAAGCAATTACAGGTAAGGGGTTCATGAATCCGACTTAAGATCATGAGTTGGAAGGATCGGGAGATGCAGATTAGTACTTTTAATCTTCTTAGGTGTCAATTCAGTTCTTAATAGGCAACTTTGAACCACAAAAGTCTTGTGTCACTTAGGATCCAGGAATGAATCAGTGTCAGTGGTTATATTTTCTCAGCTTTATTTGCAAAGTATGGCTTAAATGCAGTACTACTATTTCTGTTAGCCCGCATGAATTGAACAATTCTCATCATGGCCACATGTTGCTCTTATCTGATGGATAATATTCATTAAGATCAATTGAATTTGAACTGCAGAGAGAAGATTGGAGGCAACGTCCTCTGCCAGCAGAAATGGTGCTATATGCTCAGAATGATGCCCACTATTTGTTGTATATTGCACAATGTCTTTTTACAGAGCTCAAGCTAAAAGATTCAGGTACACTAGCTTCCATTTTTTATAGCTATTTATAGTCCTTCTCTTCCATCTATCACATATGAGCATGATTTTGTTGACAAAGTATCTTTCCTTAAGAACTTTGTGGCTCTATGTGAGAAGTAGGCTCTGTTTGCAAACTCTATTTCTAAGTGCTTTTGGCTTTTTTTTAAGAAAAAAACACTTATTTTACCAAACACTACCAACTTTTACTATCTCGGTTTTCGTGTAGAATCTACTTTTTACTTTTTCTATTACACAAAAAGCACTTATTTTACCAAACACTACCAACTTTTGCTACTAATCACTTTTTCCCAAAAAGTGCTTTTATTTAAGCACAAGTGGTTGCAAACAAAGCCGTAGGATGGCTGAGGAAATAGTCTGGAAAACTTAGGGGCCGTTTTCTCACTGGAAAATTCTAGGCCTGGGACCGGTTCGGTTCCTAGGCAAAATATGTGGAACCGTTTGAAAATATGAAATTTTACTAACGGTTCGGTTCTTATAAATTATTTTAAAGAACCGATAAGGAACCGAACCGTTCTTAACGGTTCGGTTCTTGTCATTTAACGGTTCCTAGTCTTTGAAAAAATTCTTACAAATCACGACTAAATTTTTGCCAAAAAGACATTCAACGTTCAAAATCTCAATACATATATGCTGAACCAGTTAAAGAGAATAATAATTTTAAATACTCTGGACCTTCCGAGTTCCGACCAGCTGGAGTTTGGACCTAATGAGAGGCCTAAGAAGCCTAAGAGAACCGGTTGAAATAAATAATAGTTTTAAATAGTTATATAACTAAACTAAAATAATGAATATAATATGAAATTAAATAAGTAAATATACATTACAATATATATATTCATAAAAAATATATTTAATTTTAATTATTATATATAACGGTTTCTTAACGGTTCCTGGTACATATTTTTTTCAGGAACCGAGAACCGAACCGTTAATAAAAATTAGGAACCGAACCGTTAACAAATAACTAATAAATATCGGAACCGAACCGAACCGGGTCATAACGGTTCGGTCCGGTTCGATTCTCCTGTTCTTGGTTCCAAAGTCCCAGCCCTAGAAAATTCTTCTTTGATTTTCTAGGAAACTGGAGAACGGAACTCTATAATACGTGTTTACTTTAGTGTTTTCCAAAATTAGAAAAATGGAAACATGTTTCTAATAACTCCAATATCTCCAAATTTGGGGAACTCATTTTAGTTGTTCTTCAAAACAGGAGACAAACTCAATGCTACAGTTATGGATGGGCACATTCCAGTCCAGGCTGAAAAATTGGATCAAACCGTACTGGTCAGTCTAGATTGGACCTGGACTGGTACACCAGTCCAGTCAAATACGGAATATTTAGGTCTGGACTGGTTGGACCATAATTAAATAACTACTGCGTATTATTTATTTAAATATATATCTAAAATATATTAGTATTTCAAAGATATTAAGAATTAACATAGATTTAATTTAAATAAAGTATTTATACAAGAAAAGTTTTATATTTACAAAATTTGATTGCGCAAAGTCAAAGTTTTAATACAAAAGACTTTCTCTGGTCCAGAAATGGTCCAATCCAGACATCAACATAATTTAGCTGGAATAATCTGGTCCTGGACCTTCATTATACTTCCCATTTTTTTATCCAATAATTTTAGGAATTTTGGCTCTGGTGCAGTCCGTTTTAGGCCAGTGCCGACCCCTAGCTATAGTATGCTCTCGGGGTGGGCATGATTGTACCAGAACAGCCCAGGTAAAGACCGGGTCAGAACAGGTTATCCGGTCCGGGACCAGAACTAGGACCATGTCGGGGTAGGGTGGGTACAATCAATGGCAGACCCACTAAGGGTCCCATGGGGTCCCGGGACCCCGTGGACTTCGAAAAATTTACCTATATATATTACATATATTTTACAAAATTTATGTGTATATATAAATAACATGTATGCGACTTAGAATGCAAAGAGATGCCGCGGAGTAGTGGTAGTGTGCGTATGCTTAAAGTTGCCTCCCAACGTGAGGTGTTGGGTTCGACTCTCCCTCCCGTCAGTTTTTCTTCCTTGAACCTTATATTTTTTTAAGAGTTTTTTCCACTTTTAGTCCTCCGACTATTATGTCATTGACATTTTTGGTACTCGACTTTGATTTTTTCCACTTTTAGTCCTTGACTATTGCGCTAGAGACACTTCTGGTACCCGTCTTTGAAAATTTCCATATTTAGTCCTTCAACTTTCATAAAAGTGACACATTTGGTCCTTCAACTATTATAATAGTTACTTTTTTAGTCCTTCACTTATTGTGTCAAATTTATAATGGAAGGACTAAAAGTGTCAATTTGACAATACTCAGGGACTAAATGTGAGAAACCTTGAAGTCAGGGACTAAAAGTGTCTCTAGCACAATAGTCAAGGACTAAAAATGGAACAATTAGAAGTCGAGTACCAAAAGTGTCATTGACATAATAGTCAAGGGACCAAAAATGGCAAAAACTCATTTTTTTAAACTCATTTTCTTTGGGTCCATTCTTTAAGATTTTCTTTGAATGTTAAGATTAAATAAATAAATTTATGTATTTATGATTTTTCTTAAAATTTGACGATGAAGGATGAAAATATATTTCAGTATTGTATCCAAATTTAAAAAAATTCGGAGTACCGAGATTAGTTAAGATATTAATTCAAATGTTCGTCTTTATTAGTAAATAAAGAATCGGATATAGTACTTGCTGAAAGTGAAACTAATTTGGCGGTTTGGCCTATAATCTACATGAACAACATAATGATTTTATCCTAATGTTCAAGAGAGTGTACGCCGTATTTATTGTCAAAAAAGGTCATTTCAACTTCGGGATCATGATTTCCCTATTAAAGTAATTGACGGCAAAAAAACGTAGATTTGTTTCAAATTGGTTTGATGACCATAAATGGTTGGAATACAGTATTGCCAAAGATGTTGCATTTTGTTTAGCGTGTTATTTGTTTAGGAATGAGTGGAAAGTAAGTGGTAATCATTTTTTTGGAATAAGATTTTTAGCATGAATAAAAAAGATAGGTTTTACATCGCAAAAAAAAGGATAGATTTTATGTACATGTTGATAGACCTATGAGGTACTTTTGTAAACTTGAGAATGACTTTTATATGTAATTTTTTGTTTTATATCATCTTAATGTTTTGCCGATGTACGTTAACCATGAAACATTATGCTTATTATTTTTTTTTAATTTTATATTAATGAAAGTTCCATTAGTTTAGGGACCCCGTGACTCTGATTTTCTGGGTCCGCCACTGGGTACAATACCAGTATAAGTTCTCGGGTGTGGTACTAGTATACGTAATATAGTACTGGGTCGAGGTAGAGACGTAGAGTGAGCAACTCCGGTACCGGTATACGTAATAGGGAAACATAATAGTGGCATTAGTGGGTACAGTACCAATGTATGTACTAAGGGTAGGTACCACTATACATAATATCTTTGCAATGTAGATATTTGAAAACATATAAGAAACACGTGAACACCATTTATGGACATGGAAAATTGGAAAATAGAAACAAAAACGGGAAAATGAAAAACACAAAATAGAAGCAAAGAAGTGGAGAAATAGGTAAATGAACTCTTGTAAAATTGTATAATGATGAAACCTATTTCTAGGTGAATACAAATAACCCTATCATAATTATAATACCGATCTTACGGTCGTACCATAATTACAAGATTAATAAAAAATAACAATTACTATAAAGTACTCCCTCCGTCCTTGAAAGAACTTCCAACTTTCCTTTTTCGTCCGTCCCAATAAAACTTCCATTTTTCTTTTTTGGTAAAGCATATGTGGTTCACAACATTTCTTACACATTTCTCTTTCCTCCGCACAACTCTCCACTACACAATACCCACTTTTTTAATTTGTGTGCCATTTGTACTATGGAAGAACAATTAGGGGCGGAGGGAGTATAAACATTATTTACAACTGAAAGGAGGTAATATATGCATATATATACAGGGCGTAATTCTAGTGAGAATGACACTCCGTGGTACACATATGGTTCACCTTTACGCATACTTTTACTCTGAGTAATGCAAATTGATGCATAATATTTTTTAAATTATTTACAAAAATGTCACATCTTTTTCATGGTTTATGACAGTGCACATTCCAGCTTTTATAGTGCTCATTTATCAAATGTAGCTGACAAGATGCATTCATAATTTCATATTCATCACATTAGTTCACATTCTCATTTCATCCATACCTATATATGCGGACAGGTGGGTGAGTATATTTATACTTTACCCCCTACCCCCAATTGAGCTTAATAGCTCCCCTTAAAAGAGAGGGGTCAATGGGATTGCATCAAAAGAAGCTGATATACCCCATCCAAATGTCTCATATTTGTTTTTTACTCGGATAGTTGGTGGCTTTAATTTTTTAGGTAGCTTATCTAGCCGCACATCCTAATAATGTATTGAGTTTGCTTACATATACAGAACATTCACGAAGTCTCAATGAAAAAATGAATTTTGTTCTTGAGGCCACCCGCCGTTCAAATACAACTTGTTTGCAACTTTTTTCCAAAGAACTTGAAGCAAATCCAGGAGAGTCTGCTGCTTCTTCAATAATATCTCGAAACCATGACCAAGGAAACCTTCCTTCCAGCTCTTTGAATGCAAAGGTTTTGTTATTTAGTAGACCTTGTTACGTATCAACAAACATTACCAATTGTGACCTATTTTTTCTTTTTTTGTGGTATTCAGTTTCAGGATCACGTGAGGCAATTATGTGCATGGAGAGATATTATGGTGAGTGGATAACTCAAATACAAAATAAAATATTGCTATAAAATTATATATGTTATTAATACACACTTTCATTATCTTCTTTTTCTTTTATTTATTTCTCTGAAATTAGCTGTCATATTATCTTGTTAGTTGGTGATAGAAAGTTGTCATCTGAATTTCACAATATTATTTGATATTCTTTTAGGCTCGTGTGCATGACGAAAGTTTGAGATATGTTTTATCTGAGCAAGCTATTGTTGCACTGGCTGCTAACCCCCCTACAGAAATTAGTGATACATGCAATATCATATCTGAAGCCGATGCAAGTGCGGATCAGATAACAACACCCCAATCTCCATCATCTTTAATTTGTAGCCATTTGGAAGACTTGGATCGCTTATTTGAAGATGGAATAGATGCGGATGATGAAAACCTTCTGCTAATTCTTCAGAAATGCTTAGGAACTAATGGGACTTGTCCTCTCTCCATCTATAATTATGCTTTGCTCTCCAAAACTAGCTTGAAAGTAGCCAATCAATCTGTGGTCAAGAAAAACGGATATAGAACTGCAAAATCCATGGCTCGAAAGGCTTCCCGTGAATTGTTTGTCCAAAAATTCTCTTGTAAATCTCCAGTCTACCACAATTGTAGGATCTATGCAAATGATGATCGGTTATTATGTTACTGTGACCGTAGGAAGCTTGAGTGGTTAGTTCTTTTTAAATCATGCTGAATTTGCACTTCGTGTTTACCCAGTATATGGCTTTACATCCCATATTCTATTTTATTTGACTACAACCCGAGTGGCCGAGTGGGGTGCAAAGTCAAAGAACATAAAACATGGTGTAAAGTCAATCTGGGAGTAAAATTAGAGTATCAATTCATTCACACGCACACATAAATACTGACAATTTAATTTTTAACCTTAATCTAGGTACTTAAACAGGGATTTGGCAAAACTTGTTGAAGAGGACCCTCCTGCCATAATGCTTCTTTTTGAACCTAAGGGACGTCCAGAAGATGAGGACAATGACTTCTACATTCAAAGTAAGAAAAACATATGTGTTGGCTGTGGTGAAAGAAATCACTATTTACGGTACCGTATTATACCTTCATGCTACAGAATGCACTTTCCAGAACATTTGAAGAGTCATCGGTCTCATGATATAGTCCTCCTTTGTGTGGACTGCCATGAAGTTGCTCATGCTGCTGCTGAAAGATTCAAGAAAAAGATAGCTGTGGAATTTGAAATACCACTTTTTGTCCGTAAAGTTGTTCATTCTACCCCAGCTGAAAATGCAACTTCATCCGGTGTGAATGTGGAAGAGGATGGTGTGTCACCTTTACAATTGCATACAGCAGCAATGGCTTTGCTGCGTCATGGTTCCAGAATGCCATTGAGGCGACAAGAAGAACTAAAAGAGGTTGAATTTAATGTTATTCTCTCTTTGAAAAAAAGTCTTTTTTTGGGTAGAAGGTCAAATTCATTTTAAGTCAAATTAATTTGACTTCTAAAAATTGTACGTCAAATTAATCAAGGGATTAGCTTCTAAAAATTTAGGAATTGTCATTTATACCCCTAAAATTCATTCCCAAGATTGTTTGGACTTTGGAGTAATTGACTAAACCCGCTTGCCGCTTGGCTCTACAGGAATTTTACTACAAAATGAAAGTTGACTTTTAAACCCAGACTTTTTTTAGTGACAAAAGAAGTACTCTTTGACGGAGAGAGTATTAGTTATTAGAGACATTTGCATCACTGCTGTTGTTCATAAGAAATGATGAAAGTGTTGTAGACTTCCAAGCTCTTACAATCTCATCAAGTTATGTGCATCATGCTTTCTTATTTTGTACAATGTTCACCAGTTATCTTTAATTATGTAGTGCCCTGAATAGTAGCCATTTTAGAGAAGATGAAACATATTCTTCAAACATGTCCATTTTCCAAATATTGCGATTGTCCTTCTTCAACCATAAATGCTCCATTGTACTTCGTATAACCTTAATGAATTGATGAGGAATATTCTAATCAATTTTTAAGTGAAATTATTGATTTATTTATATGTGCATGAACACCTTAAGTGACAGTGATTTGAGAACAGAGGGAGCACTTGTGAAGTAATTTCAATCCCATAGAAAGATTATTAATGCTAAAATGTGCATATTTCCATATGTATTACTGTATTGCAGGTTGTAAGAAATTACTATGGAGGAAGGGAGATATCAGAAATAGATCTAGAAAATGCTTTGCTAATAGGTATGAGTTCCATTGGGAGAAGACGGTTTGTGAAAAAGAAGCTTTCTTCCAAACAGTCAACACCATATGTTGCTTCTGATCATAACAATCACAAGCCAAGCAGTGATGCCAATGCAAAATCTACGTACGAGAATGGCATATTAAGTGGAACTGAGAAATGGTGGAACAATGGGAATACAAACAATGGGAATACAAACGCTGTGGTGTTGAAGGATATAGATTTTGACAACCAATGTTGGACTTCTAATGCTGAAAGTGGAAGTATATACACTGAAAGTGATATGGTTCACTCTAATAAGAATGTGAACATTTCATCTAAGGTACACTCGAAGGTATCAATGTTGGGGCATGGACCACATGGGAAGCAGGTGGTGGAATTTGTACTCCAAAAGAATGGGGAAGAAGGGATTTGTGAGTTTTGTCAGAGATGGCGACAAGTTTTTGTTGAAGCTGTTCATCCTCGTTTCTTACCTGCTGGCTGGAACATAATGCACAGGTTGGGAGTATTTCTGATGATCATACATGACTTGTTTTTCATTCATGCCCGCCCTATCCATAAAAGAATATGGATGATAAGGTTGGATGATCTGTATGGGGTTTTGATCAATCTTAAATTCATATTGAATTTAAGAAAGTCAAATTGCTTACATTGATTTACTCAAATACCTTTTAAATTTAGGGTAAATGTTATGGAGTACTATAGAGTACACTGTTTTAATAGTGTTTGAATATGTAAAATTATTGTTATTTGAGGGTGTACAGTAAGGGGTGTTTGGAACTAACTCTGCTTCCACTTCTACTTCCTTTTTAAAAGTAGAAGCAAGTCAGAATCAGTTTTTCAGAAGCTGATCTCCCCCAGCTTCTAAAAAACTGCTTCTACGAGTAATTTGGAGCACCCAGAAGTACTTCTACACTTTCACCCAAACACTCCAATATCTGTTCCTGCTCCCTGGAGGAGCAGAATCAGTTTTAAGAAGCAGATTCAAACATCTCTCTAATATGAGAAAAATTCTTTACCAAAAAAAGAAAATTACCTTTTTAGAAACTTTCCAAAAAGGAATACACAAACATAATTCTAAGGCAAAAAGAGTATTTTTCGCTTGGATTTTATTTTATTGTGGAATGGTTTTGACTTGGACCTTTTTTCTTCTTTTCTTCCAGTGGTAAAAGAGATTTTGGAGAGTTTAGTGTCTATAATCCTGAGAAAATAGATTCCACCGATGCTTTGAGTAGATGAGGAACTGTAAGGACAGGACAGATCAAGCAAAAGCTCGTTTCATTTCCCCTTGTTTTTCTCCGTTTCATTTGCTTTGCCTGGTCTTTTGCAATGGAAAATGGAGCCCGAATTACTACACTGATTTTGTTTTTTAATGTAACATTTGTATCTCGGAAAGTTTTCATGTAGACCTGTTGTCTCAGTTCTCATTTTTCATCATTTATGAATTTAAAATTCATACATGGTCATGCATTATTGTGTCACTAGTTTTAACAATAGGCTAATGTATTTCCTCAACATTCTTTGTAACAAGAGAAGAAAAAGAATTGTATAAATGCTCTTAAAATTACAGTAAGCTATCATTAGGATGGAATTCTACATTGTGGTTCTTGTCCGTCCAAAGACAAATTGTATCAGAATGGGTTGCAATTTACCAGCTTGGTTTCAGGTAGTGTAGACTGTAGAAGCGATTTCTCTATTTTGGGAGAACCAGATTGGAAATTCCCAGTTACAACTTCTCATTCAGGAGCAATTTCCCATTCAACACCAAGTGGTGTCCACAGTTCTGGTACATATAAAAAAAAGGATGACACCTCATCCCTGAGGGTCCCCCAACACCGACCGGATGACACGATGGGAGGATGTAAATTGGACTATAATAACAATCTGACAAATAGAGAGTGATGCTTCATCCCCGGTATTTGCAGAGGTCTTCTATTGAGTAACTTCTCATCGCAGTTGCCGGGAGTAGTCATGGATTGAATCGGGCCAAGTTCTGGGTCGGGCCTAAGTCTGGCCGGGCCCAAAAAAAATTCTGTGAGAACCGGGACCGGCCCGGTAGTTGACCGGTGTCGGTCCGGTCCGGGTCGGGTCCGGTTCTATTTTTTTTCTTGATTATTTTTATCCCCCACCCCCTATCCCACAAACCCATCTGAAAGACCCATTCCAACCCAAAGCCCCAAACCAACAAAAAACAAAAAAAAATGAAAGGCCCGAACCGGGCCCGGAACCAACTGGGTCGGTTCTCATTTACCTAAGCCCGTACCCGACCCGATTACCCACCCCAAACCGGGCTTAGACCCGGAACCGGTATCCGGTTCCCGGGCTGGGCCGGGCCTGCACAGTATCGGGCCGGGTGACCCAAACCGGGTCTAAGCCTAGCCGAGAGTCGAACCCGGGACCTAACCCTTGTGACACTCCCTCGTTATCAGTTGAGCTACGCCCACCGGTGTACTGGTACATATAACATACTAACTGTCGTAGGACCTACATTACCGATTCTGGGCTGTTTTTTATCACCCGCCAGTCCAAGTTCAATCTTTTTTTAATTTATTTTATGTTTTTAAACCCTTCATCCCTTCTCCAACTTTTAAATGCCCTCCCAGTCTCCCACTCCCTTTCAAATGCTTCCCAATAATTTAAATTAGGGGTGGACCAGGCCCAGGCTTTGGATCAGGCTAAGGTGGCTCCGGGTCAAAATTATTCGGGTATGAAAATAATTGTCTTTTGAATTAATTCCAACCCCCCCAACTCCCAAAACACCCAAATTGCCCAGCTCCACCCACCTAGTAGCCAGTCCAACCTAAAAAAATTAAAACAAAAAAAAATATTTGGGCCCGGACCAACCGGGCCGATCCATCATTCAATAAGTCCATAGCCCGCCAAATTAATGCCCCGGTTTGGGCCGGTCCATCACTCTGTCTACCAAATTAATGCCAACCAGGTCAGGCTGATCCAGCATAGTAACAGGCCGTGCCAGGTCCCGGGTCAGGCCGAACCGTCCCAGTCCACCCTAGCTCAAATGCAAGAATGGGCTAATGTTGGGACCATAGACTCGTCCCAAACTTAAAAATTGAGGCTCAGGACGGGAACTTCTTCCCATAGGTACTGTCCCAAATACCAACCAAACCGGTCCTGGATTGAGACCTTGTCCACCTCTAGTTTGTTGTAGTCCTGGTCTGGTTTTGGCCTGGAATGATAACAAATCCATTCCAATGTAAAATAATCATATACTTTCAGTGTACTACAAATATAGCCACAGTTTAGAATCTTTTTACAGCATTCAGAACAGTAGAACGTGTTATATCATCAAAGAAATCATGAGCAATAATGTGATTCTGGAAACAGCAGTTGCAATTAATATAAATGATCTACTATCTTGATGTAGTCTCAAAAACTAAAATGTGTTTATCAAGTGAAACAAGAGCCACTTTGATTTGTGTTTATCATGCAGATCGCATTACATGGGTTCACATTTAACAATCTTCTATTTCTCCTTTTCTAACCAATGAAGCACCTAAACTCTGATGCATCCTTGAAACTATCCATCATGCCTCCACCTCAAAACGAAGTACAAGTTGTGCCCAAATTGTTGTGCTTTCCGAACAAGTGATGGAAGAAAAGAAGGGCATGCCCAGACCCATTTAAATACTAAAGAGTAAAGAATTAGAGGAACAAAATATGAGACTTGTGGTTGATGCCGTTGAAGATAAACGTCCCGCGCATTGGAACAAATTGTCTTGTGATTAACTGTAATTAAGCAATGAAAAAAAATACTCTTATTTCCATCATTTGCAATGGAGCCAAAGATTCATTATTTTTTGGCTTGAGAATATGATGTAATAAAGCAAAATGGATTACTAAATTGTCTGCGCTTCTTTGTTATGAAGCAACAGTCAGTCCATGCAATTTTGGACGCGATTTTCACTATGGGTCATCCGGAAACAGTCTCTCTGTGCTTTAGTACAAGGGTAAGACTGCGTACATCCGACCCCCCCTTACCCCACCATAGGTGGGAGCCTTTGCGGCACTGGGGTAATGAAAATGAAAATGAAATGAACAAAGTTATAAGGTGGTCACAAAGCAAATCGCTCATGGCTTGTAATGAGCGCCTGACATTTTACAACGTACACAAGGTTTTCGCAACACCGAATAGAGAAATTTAGACAAGTAGACAACCCATGAAGGGCAGGACAAATCCAACTCCAAAAAAGGCCGCCTCAAACCACGAGAAGGAGGGCTCTACACAAACTCCCATCATACCAAACTATAATGTTGTTCTAATTGATGAAGGTAGAATCCTTAATATGAGAAGCTTACCTCATACGCACAAACGAAACAAGGATAATAAAGAAGTAGGTGTTTACAATACACAAATGCTAACCTTGATTACTTCCTGCGATGCAATTCCTCCAATGAAGGCGGCTACAGCATGAAGCTCAGCAGCACCATATCTACACATCTCATGTATAAGGTCCTCCACCAAGGTGGACCAGTTGCAACCCAAGTCGTTCAGTAGGGTGACAGCGGTAGTTTTCAACCTGGATATGTCCTCATCCATCTCCCTGTCCGCGGAAAATATAAAAACTAGATTTTTTTATCTTATCTACTCCCAGGGAAGTTATATATATCACAGTGATATATACAATAGGCATTTACCCATCTAGTTGCCCGGGGAATTTATTATAGTTTGCAAAGAAGCGGTCAGCTGCTCGAAGTAAAATATAGAAACTCACTGCAATACTGCACCAGGTAAGACACTTCATGAACTCAGGCAGATAGGACTAGAGAAATTATAAAATCAATGGGTGCAAATAAAGTTATTAGTTTGAGCTCTCCGTACGGCATCTTCCAACATAAACAAGTAATCCACACTGCCAAAACAGCTCATGGGACTAGAGAACCTAATTGTTGTGAAAGCTACGACTATAATGTCTCAGCATACAAGAAAACTTATGCAGGACAATTATTTTTGGGTGTACATTTCTTATAGAGAATCCACCATAAACTGCAGGGTTCTTGCTTGGATAAAGTTACTTTTCTGAAAAGACTTTAAAGGGGTTGGCTTCTTAAACTTACTTTTTTGGAAGGACTTTAAGGGGATTGGCTTCTTGTATATTCCTGCTTATTCGTATCAGAAAAACAATCAAAATATTATCAAAGAATCACCTATCTGCGATCATTCTAGATATCCCCCCAGAACGTTGCATCAAGCACTAGAGACATCAATTGTCATAAAAGTGGCTTTTCAAACACTATCTTCTCCTATATACTAAAACTAGTTTGATATGAATGTTTACATACCTATACTCCTCATCTGTTAAATATTTCTGCAACTCTGGTTGGGCTGGGGACCTGAACTCCTCCTCAAGGGAGTGATATCTGCAAACCTGAGAAATTACAGAATAAATATATAACATTATTTAACAAACATCATTTGATAGTTATTATATGTATACATAATGACGGATAAAAGTCTGAAACCAGTTTATGTTCAATAATTGCAATTTGTAAATTAGAGCCTTCCAAAAAAAATAAAAAGTGATTGACGGTCTGGAACAAAGAAAAATCCTAAAAGATAGTCTGTTTTGTAAACTAAAACTTTGTTCAGGTGAAAAGTGGTACTTCCAAAATAGATAGGTGTCCCACTCCCTCAGTAGTCTGTACTGTTTCAACATCCAAAGCATGCAAACACAGCCACATGTAATCAAACTTTTTGTGAATAGCTCCAAGAAAAACAAACATTTGAGCTGGAGTCAGATCATACCAGCACGCTAGAAGCCACAATGCTAGTTTCATAAAAATCAAAACTATAGTTTTACTATTAACAGCATTTCAATCATGTCAAATACAATATGACATATTCACAATCACTCCTTTTGTTTTGTTATTGCTCATGCTTGTTTACCAATACATGTTCAACATTCACACTCTTTGCTGTGGCAATGTTGGAAGATACACATTGCAGGTCAGATGTTTGAAACTAGATGTGCGTAGTGGCTAATGTTCAGGTGACCAACATTGTATCCTGTAGAAGTGTAGGGCCTGTAGGCTAGAACTTTTCGTACTTCTAGTCTTAGTTTTTCTATAAATGGGTAATGTTACCATATTTTGTTCATATGACATTTGTGCTAGCTTCTAAATTATTACAATGGATAATGTTGAGTATCCCTCCGGAGAGCATATACTCTCGTCCCACCACTTGCAATGATTGCATTGGGGGGGGGCACCACCTGCACTCTGAGTGTCAAGAAGTAAAGTAAAATAGGAGCACATGCTGTACACATCTCAACTTCATTAAAGTTTAATAAAAGGAAGTGTTTACTCTATTTTAGTTTAAGATGACAGGTTCATAGGCTACATCCTGTTATCCAGTGCATATATGTGCACACAACAAGATTAATGTACTAAAGAATGTAACTAATGGCACAAACATAAACCCTACAGGAGGCGTTTATTATGAATAAAATTGAACAGGTCCCTTTTTCATTTGCCTGAAAGGATGGACTTCATTTGTGGCCAAAACTATTAGTGTAAAATTGTGGACGTGATGGTGGAATGGAGCGACTAAATATTTCTTAGGTGTTTTCATTTGCATATAAAGGTTGCTCATTTTCTTCTTAAGGATGCTCATTATATGTTCTACATATG